AAAAGACAGATTGACCGACTGGATTAAAAAACAAGACCCAACTATATGCTATTTACAAGCAACTCACTCCAAATATGACAACAGAGCCAGGGTGAAAGTAAAGGTGGGAAAAGTGCATCTCACAGACATTAAGGGAAAAGATGAACAGGTATGGGTCAAATACAGCAAAACATCAGAGCAAAGACAACTACTAGGGACCAAGAGGGAGATTACCAAATGAAAAAAAGGTGGATCCCACAGGAAGACACAGCAATCCTAAAAGTGCAGGCACCAAACAATGGAGCTTCAAAATACACAGAGCAAAAACTCACTGAGCTGGAATGAGAAAGAGTAAAATATAGATAAATCTATTATTATAGTTGGAGATGCAATTGAGAGAACTAGTCAGAAAGTCAGCAAGGATGGAGAACTGAACACCACCCTCAACCACCAGGATCTGCCTGACATTTACACATGTTCAAACACGTTCTGTACATGATACATGTTATTTTCCAGCGCCTATGAAACGCTCACCAAGGCAGACCACATCCAGGGTCATAAAACACATTTAAGAGGACTCAGATCATACAGAATGTGTTCTCTGACCATAATGGAACCAAACTAGAAACCAGTAACAGAAAGACCCCAGAAAAACCTCCAAACACTTGGAAACTAAACAACACACATTTATTTATTTATTTATTTATTTATTTATTTATTTATTTATTTATTTATTTATTTAGTGAGGAAGATCAGCCCTGAGCTAACATCCATGCTAATCCTCCTCTTTTTGCTGAGGAAGACCGGCTCTGAGCCAACATCTATTGCCAATCCTCCTTCATTTTTCTCCCCAAAGCTCCCGTAGATAGTTGTATGTCATAGTTGTACATCCTTCTAGTTGCTGTACGTGGGACGCGGCCTCAGCATGGCCGGAGAAGCGGTGCATTGGTGCACGCCTGGGATCCGAACCCGGGCCGCCAGTAGCGGAGTGCACACACTTAACCGCTAAGCCATGGGGCTGGCCCTATTTATTTTTATTTATTTATTATTTTGGTGAAGAAGATTGGCCCTGAACTAACATCTGTGCCAATCTTCCTCTATTTTGTATGTGGGATGCTGCCATAGCATGGCTTGATGAGTGGTGTGTAGGTCTGCACCTGGGATCTGAACCCATGAACCCCGGGCTGCCAAAGTGGAGCGTGCAAAGTTAACCACTATGCCACCGGGCAGGTCCCCTAAACAACACACTTCTAAATAATCCATGGTTCAAAGAAAAATTTAAAAATACATAGAACTGAGATGTAGTTGAAGAGGGAAACTTATAGCACTAAATACTTACATTAGAAAAGATCTTAATCATCTTAAATTCTTTTCTCAAGAAACTAGGAAGAGAAGAGTAAAATAAACCCAAAGCAAGCAGAAGGAAGGAAAAAATAAAGGATTGGCGAGTTCCACTTGTGCTGACTTGACTTGGGCACTAGTCCGGGGGTTTCTGTGGGAGCTGCTTGCTTTTTCTCCCGTGACTCGATTGCCTATAAACCAAAAGCACCTCTTGACCATTATTCTCAACAGCAGCTGGTGTGCTGGGTGACCACTCCCACATCCTTAACAAGATAAGCCAGCACTGCCCCCCCACCCCCAGCCCCATGTTCATGGCAGGAGTGGTTAGGCTCATGCTAATTTGGAAGCTTGTCCCAAGATAAAGTTTTTCTTGGTGTGGTTTCTACCAGTGTTGTGCACAGGGCTGTAGTCCTGGCACCTGCAAGAGCAAGTTAGGGCCCCGGCTCAGAGCGATTCTCTTTGCCAATTAATTCTAACTGCTAAGTGCTGGGAAACTTCCTCTGCCGCTCTCCGCGCTGGGTCCCTTAGAGCCGGACTCTGGGTGGGTCCGAGGAGAGGCAGCTGGGAGCCTAGCTGCTGCCTGGCCTTGGGTGTCGGGACCTGGAGTCTCCCGTGGGCAGGCCTTGGTAGCCAGCTCTAATATCCCACATCCCTGGTTTTTTCTTGATGTTTAGTTGGGCTCTTCTGGCTGCAAGTAACAGAGAGAGATTCAGTCCAGGTCGCTAAAGAACGACAGGATTTATTTTGTGTGGAATGCAAGTGAAAGCTCCATGACGGGCTGTTAGCTCTCAGCCTCGTGGGCCACTGGCCTCCCCGGAGATCTCAGCCACATATCCCACGGCCAGCCATCTGGTTTTCAATCTCTGACAACTCAGTTCTTCAGAGGAAGACATGGTGAACCCAATATTTCTGTGCTAGGATGCATCGCAGGTCACAGGGGAGGGCCCTTCCTCGGTGTCTGTGCCCACTGGCAGGCCCTAGGACAAGCATACTTAGATCTTCATCCCTTCAGCCGACCCCAAACTTGTCCAATTACAACAATCGTTTGGGTCTTAATAGATCTCTGGAACTTGCACCTGGAGCTCCTGGTTCAGAAGGCTTGAGATAGTGCCAGAAGTCTGTTTTTTAACAAGTACTCTTCCTATGGACTTGGCAAAAGTGCAGAGCCCTCTTAGGATGGGTTAGCTGACATACTGCTGCTGCCTGACCAGCCACCTTCAGAGTGGACCAGCTTTGCCTGTGAATGTTCTAGAGAGCCCTCACACACTGCATGATACACACACACACAGGCATACAACTGTTCAATAAACAAATAATGAGTTTCAGCTATGCAAGTTGGCCACCGCGGCTGAAAGGAAAACCTGGTCTCAGATGAACCCAGGTATTGGAGGCCCTTGCCATGCAGGGAACATCCATCGACGGTGCATTTCCATCTCCTGGAAGCTCAACTGTCAGTCCCCAGGGCCTAGTGGACATTCTTCCCCTCCCATGGAAAGCCCTTCCTCCCTTAGTCAGTTCCAGATACACCTAACAGGTGGCCTCTTCTGTATAACACCATCCTGACCCCCACGGGTCCAGCCACCGTCCTTTCCTTGTGACACACTCATCATATTTCAGCTCAGAGCACGACCACCCAGACCGTCCAGCCTCCTGACCCATCCAGCTGAGCACCCAATGTCTTAGCCATGCTCCACGGTGTCTCTGGTTCCGCCAACAGTGAAGCCGAGTGGGGAGGTCTTTGTGAAAGTCACCTAAATCCTCTTGCTGTGCCTTTCTCTGATTGACTGACTTACCTCCTCTCCCGCCTCTCTATGGTAAACTTGGAATACAGTGTGTTAAAGGGGAAAAAACCCCACTCACATCCCAATCTAAGCAGACCATGAGTTTACTTGGTTCAGAAACGGCTCGTAGCTCATCAGGCTCGGCAACACACGGCCATCTGCTGGTGGTGCTTCTTCAACTGTCAGTTTTATCCAATCATTTAGATCAACATAGGATTTTAACATTAGTAAAAGATGTGGATATACTAAGGAATGAAATGTAACAACTTCAATTTCTTGGCGGGGAGGAGATTCAAATATTTGGGGTTCGGCTCTTGAACCACTCCCAGAGCCATGGAGGAACATGCCTTGCCTGGCCTGCTAGCCCAAAGACGAGATGCACACGGTGATGAGCAGGGTGTGACCCCTCGTCCCCCAGAATGGGCCCAGGCCCAGTCCAGCCAACGCACGTGCCTGTGAAAAAGTGCGGCCCAAGGTCAGCACAGCCGCCGAGCCAAGCCTACACCAGCCAATCTCAATGTATAATTTTAAGCCACAGAGTTTTGGGTTGGGTATGCAGAAATAGCAAATCAACACATCACCCTATTTCTTCCCAAATTCCTAGGCCAGTGCTGTGCATGGAGAATACATCCTCAATAAATATCTTTTTAACAAATATTTATTGAGCATCTAGTACGTTGCAGACAGTGTACCAAGTACAGGAGATACAATGGTGATCAAAATGGGCTTAACTCTTGCCTTCATTAAGCACATTTAATTATCAGTGTCATGAGTTCTATGAAGGAAATTCTTAGGAATGCAGAATGACAGGTGAATGAAATTCTATGGTATCAGCAAGGAAACAGAACTATAGACAGTACAGAATAGAGAGCCTAGATAAAGATGCATGCATATGTGCAAACTCTGTAAGTAACAAGAGTGGCATTACACATCAGTGGAGAAATAATAAACTAATAAGTGAGATGGGAAAAAGAAACTTTCCATGTGGCAAAAAGTAAAACTGGGTTCTTACCTCAGACCATACACGCATATACAAATCAATCAATTCCAGATGCACTGAAGACATACATAGACATAAAAGATTACCTTTATGACTCCAGCATGGGGAAAGACTTCATAAACAAGACCAAGACACTCAAACCATAAAGGAGATGATCAATAAATTTTACTACATGATAATTAAAATCTGTAAGATAAAAGGTACTCTAAAGTTCAGACAACTGGTAGAGATTGAGAGAAAATATTCGTAACATATATAACAAAGGATTGACAGAAAGAACAGATAAAGAATACCAAGTCAATAAGAAAAAGATAACCCAGTAGAAAAATGGGAATAGGATATGAACAAGCAATTCACAGAAAAGGAAAATCAGGCAATTAACATCTAATCGGACCATCTGTCCACTAAATTCATAATACACTAAGAAGTTTCATCCATTTTCAGCCTTTTACTAGTGTTGGCATCACCATTATTTAGGGATAAGTCAATCACTTTGTTTTTGAGGCTCATTTCTAATCTGAAAACCACGATGATCTAACATCAACTCCAAGTGACATCTTTTTGGAGATTTATGGAGTTATCTCACAAGAGACAGGGCCATTTAACATAAGAAAATATCCTGACACAGGAATATTTATTTTTGTGGTAAACCTTGGATTTAATCAACTGTTTCCTCATGAATACTTGATTTTAGTGCTCACTCTGAATTAAAGCCGACTGGGGAAAAGCCCTCGTGCTGCACAACTCACACCTGTGCCGAGAAGCCTTTAATCCAAACATATAAGTTGAGGCAACTCGTATTTCATTCTCATGTACACTGATGGGAAGAGACAAAAAATTATTTTGAAAAAAGATGCATTCTTCAAGAAAATTTTAATTAAAAAAAATCAAAAGAAAAATTGAACAGTGCCTAAATCTTTATTTTTCATAACCTACATTTTTTTTCAAATTAGACAGTTTTACACTGAATGACACAAAAGGAAACTTAAATTACCAATAGTTTACATGTAAGCTTGATTCCAGTCTTAATAAAAAGTAGAACAAAAACAAAAACCTTCAAGAAAGCTTCCATGTTACACTCCTGTTTTGTGAATTGGCAGCTGTTGGCTCTCCTTCAGTCTTCGATTGTCTGCTGCTTTCTGCGTAATAGGCTTCGAAGCACACGGACCCCTAACTACAATGCGCTGACGGCAGATACAAAGACAGGCACGAACCTTCCTCACCCACTGCCCTTGCGAGAAACTGAACCAGTTTTCAAATGTAAACTGCAGCAATCCTGACTAATACAGCAACATAAAACATCTTTTGCCACCTGCTAGTGACAACCAGTGATGTGAGTGCAGGAGGGCCTGATCAGAAACATCATGACACTAACGCTTAAAAAGCAACTATTCTACTTGAAATTCATGTCTGGTGAAATAAGCCAGATTCTTATTCTTATATTTCCAGATGATAAGCATCACCACACAATTTTACAAGTTAAAATGTCCTTTGTGACTGCTGTATCTGATTCTATACCTTGAGATACTGCTGGGGGAAAGGAAAGAGTTAAATTTTTAAAAATGTACGAAAGCCACACACTACTGCCTGCATGTGACGGAGCTGCTGTCTGCGTGTGCCACATCACAGCTTCATGTTGTGAACTCCCATTCCTTTCTGTGAGGGGACATCTCAGAGCAACGTCAGAAAGGTCGTTTTGTGGACATTACAGAGCTATTTGGCATATCACCTGTGCTTAATTAAAAAGGATGCTATAAAAATCACATCAGAGCAAGGTTTCAACTCCTGATGCAACAGACTGGCTGAGGGAGCAGTAAATGCAGCACACTGAGGCAGCACAGACGCAGCAGAATCCACCACGCACCTCACAGGCACTCGCCCGCCACACGACTGGCTGCTAACACAGGGGCCCACCGTCATCCTGTCTGCCAACAAACAGCAGATCGCTACAGCTGGCTTTAGCACACACCCGCCTCTAGGGAAAGGATTTGTCATTATTAAAAACCAGTGTCTCGGCTCCACAGGGTTTGTGATTTGAGGGATGATGATGGCTGACAATATCCGCTCCCTCCTCCAGCAAAGACTGCAACATTAATGAATTCCTAGGGCTTCAAGCGTGCCGTTCCAACTCTGTGTATAGTACTCATCAGTTTGGGTGTAAGAGGTCAATTGTTCCTGATTTTTTAGTCAGCAGTCTGACAATCACAAAGAAATAAATTCCCATGTTCCTTTTACCAGCACTTGTAAAATATTAGCACTGTGTGTATTTCTAGGTATTGAGTGATGAAAGCCGCTCTGAAGGAGATGGTCAAATACACCAGGGTGCCCTTTCCTCCGGCAGGGGACATCATACTTAGTTATTTATGATTTTAAGTAGATGATTTTTTTACTTTCACTTGAAGATCCTGCCAGTTTCTGCTTTCAATATTATACTTCAAAAACCCTTTCACATTAGCTATGATTAGTACATATTTACATACTTTTAAGAAGAGCATGAAAACATCTGAAGGCTTTAATAAGACTTTCCATTTCCCTTTTGCAGCAGCAAAGAGGCAGAATCAGTTCAACACACTGGCATAAGAGAAAAAGGAAAAAACCTCAACAAATTAAAATAATATTCAAACCACAACATTTAGTTTATCTACATCCAGCTCAATAGCAACATTTATAATATATCAATAATTTTTATCAGATTTTCTCTTTAGGGTACCTTTTTAATATGTTCTGATTATTTACAACTGTACAGGCAAAGCACACACTCCAAGTGCACATATTTAATACAGTATTGACTATCTGCATTTACAGGGTTTTCAACAATCTGAAAAAGGTCAACTGTTTAAGATCTTCAAGGTATATTACAAACACTACTGCTAGTTCTCATACTACAGTATGCTTACTCAGTAAAACTAGTGCCAGTAGATCCCACGTAACTGAGTAGCTATGTACTCCACTCACGCCAACCCAGGGGCCGGTCTCCACCAACTCTACGCTGTCTTATACAAAAGTTAAGGCAAAGTCATTTTCAAGTTTAAATAAAATTCAAGTCTTTAAATATTGGATGGAAATAATTTTTTAAAAAAACCCCTCAGTCTTGTTAAATAACATTTTGTGGAATAAACTGTATGGTTACATTTAGCAGGAAATAGTCTTATTTTAACGTCTGCTGCTTAGAATACTTAAAGAAAAAATTTAGGCATTGTAAAACAAAATAATTTATATTTAACTTTATTATAAACTGCTAGCTTTAGTGCATGCGTGTTCTTCAGAGTGCAGCACTTCCAGAAGGGATCAATGAGACCCTCACCTTGGAGGTAAAGAGAGCGGGAATTTTTATCCTCCACCACCAAAGGGGCACCACAAATACCATTCTCTCACAATTAAGTAATGTCTCGGTCCGTGTGCCGAATCAGAGGTATGGGAAGGTGCCCAAAGGAGCTGACTAACGTGGGGGAGATGCGGGAGTCAGGGCAGGTTCCCACATCCTCCCTATTAGCTCTCAGGAGCAAAACAACATCAGGGTACAACTTTGCAGTAACGTGTCAGTGGGCAACAAAGTTTATGTTTTCATTTAAGTTCTATTCACACTGTGCTTTTAATTTATCTTACATAATAGCTAGCCACTTGAGACTGGAGTGAGAAGCTGGTTACTGCTTGCAGTACATCAAACTCGAGGTTTCAGAGCTCTCTTGGGCGCTCTCTGCAGGCTCATTTTGCCCAGTAGATCAAAAATGGGCTATACTCATTTTATGCCCATAAAAAATGCTAGAATCTCTTGTTAGGATTCTGAATGGAAGTACAACTCCCAGGCCAGTGTGTGGCTCGATCTGACCCCATCCTTTCTCCAGGCTACACTTATAGTGTTGCCTCATGCCCTTAATCCCACTGTCCTCAGCCTCACCTGTTGGTCTGGACATCTTAGAGATATGCACTTGCTAACCAGTTATTTTAAAAAATGAAGTAGCATAGTTCCACTTAATTTAGAAAAACTCACTATATATAGCTTGCATTCATAGCCACATGGAGGCTTAATAAAAAATATCAATTCGTTAGGATAAATGCATTTTCTATCCTGAAAAAAATCAGACTTATGCATCACCTCCAGTTAAGCACCAACCTAAAATAAGGTTTATATTGATTAAATCCTGAAAAATAGATTTTTTCAAGAGGGGGAAAATCCGACTCACAGAAGAAAAATAACTTGCAGGCATCTCAACGGCCTCATCTACACTCTGCAAGCTCCTAACCAGCGACTCATTCTCGGTACCGAGTGGGACAGTGCTTAGTTGTGGCGACCTCAGCTCCTCGCAGCCCTCCCAGCCCTCGGCGCTCACTGAGGGGACTTGGGAGGGGTGCTCTGTTCTCTGTGTGGACGCTTCCCCATAGCCGGTGGTGAAGGCCGGCGGCCTGGCGGCCTCCTCTGGTCTTTGGGTGGTCCCGGGTTGGACTTGGGGGCAGGGGGCTCTCTCTCAGGGAGCTTCTTTTCTTCCTTCCCACAACCGACAGTGTTTGGCTTTTGTTCTTTTTGGGGTTGCAACGGGGACGCCGGAGGCTCTCTACTGGTCCTCTGACAAATCTCCGCATAGCTGGGTTTTCGCAATTCCTGGGAAACAGACACAACTCTGGGATGACATGCATAAAATGACGTCTCCAGTGACAACACGCGAAAATAAAGTTCACTTAAGGTAAAAGTAAACAAGTTCTCAACAATAACCAAATCTCCAAATTCAGAGTATTGTAACTTTTAAAAAGTTCATACATTTCAACAAAATTTTGTTTCCCCTGCAGCACAACTTTCCCTCCAAGATACTCCAAAAATATCTTGTAGAAATGGATGAAACGAGGAAAGGTATTAATATGTAAAGTGCTGACTGAACTCTTCCCAACATTTGGCCTTTACAGATTCCTGAGCCACATGGAAACCTAAAAGGAGACCTAAGAAAACCAGACACCCCTAGAAAAAGGCAGAGGCAACATCTGCCTTCTCTGCCCATGGTCTCTGCCAAACACATCACCACTCAGCACAGCACAGGCTTCCTGGAATGCCAGGAAAAAGCCACAGCCTATCACCTACAGATGAACTTCAAAAATCATCTTTAAAAAATTTCTGAGCACATTTGAAACTAGCGAGGGCTGGAGATATGGGTTCAGGAAAGGTGAAGACAGTTAAAACTAAAAAAAAATAGTTAAGAGGGTTTTCGGGTAAGTGGAAGTATGAAAACTAAATGACAGAAGAGTAAAAACTATTTCACCTCCATACACCATTTGTAAAATAATTTTTTAACATAAAAAAAATTTTTTTTTTTCCCCGCAAAGCCCCAGTAGATAGTTGTGTGTCATAGTTGCACATCCTTCTAGTTGCTGTACGTGGGATGCGGCCTCAGCATGGCCAGAGAAGCGGTGCATCGGTGCGCGCCCGGGATCCGAACCCGGGCCGCCATCAGTGGAGCACGCGCACTTAACCGCTAAGCCACGGGGCCGGCCCCTAAAAAAAATTTTTTTTTAAGGATTCAACCTGGAAGACAGTAAGAGTTTAACTCCCAAATCTACATGACAAAGCTCATGGAGATCAAATTTAGGAGAACACAAATCAGAATAAAAAGGCAGATTCACCCCAGAGGGAAGGAGAGGAAGAGGAGCTGGAGTCAGTGTGCTGGGCCCCACAGGAGCCGGGCGGGCAGGCTGTGCCTATCTTGTTTTCAGTGTCTGTTACTGACAGCACATTCTTACATGATCACAGGTCCTACAGAGGACAGGAGCTGGAATCCTGTGACTGTCTACTCAAAAAGACAACCGCACTCTAGTGGCACTGAAATAGAAGATCCCACGGCTATGGTAATGAGAAATAACCAGGTAGTTAGGTGAAAATTATTAGCAAATATCCAAGGTATTCTGTACAGAAAGCACAACACGCGCACACACAAGTTAAAAACCCATCAAATCAGATTTACTGCGAATAAGCTGATGCAGAGAAGGAGCTCCTTCTCCCACAGCACGTGTCTCCATGGGGTGGTGAGAGGTGGGCGGGGCACGTACCGTAGCAGCGCCGTTCACCTGCACCGATTTACTCGCAGTTGCAGTCAGGGCAGAAGGAAGTCTGTCCATACTTGGGGTTTCCCTCTGCTTCTCGACCACCTTGGGATCCCTGTAAAAACGCCACCCAACATTTGAATCTCTCGCACACTAAAAGCAATTCCAACCAGTCAACGTGGAAACGAGATAGAAGACAGCTACTTACTCGGGGAGGTGGGCAGGGGAAGGGGAGCGTGCGCAGGTGGCTGACACAGTACAGGGCGCTGGCACTGAGGGCTCTCTGGGGGTCACTGTGGGAGGAGTGTTCGTGCTTGCATCCGCATTGAGGCTCTGAAAACCATCAGGATAATAGTTATAATTGGGTACAGAAGCATTTGTCAGATCTTTGTCATAATGATCTTAAACATGCCAGTGATGGCAACCGTCTGATGGCTTCCCGCCTTCGTCATGGGGGTGGAGGGGCGGCTCTGCCTGGTGCTGAATGAGTGGACCCTGCGGAGGAGAGCAGAGCTGGCAAACACTGCCAGCTGGCAGCATGAGGAAACAAAGCCCAAGTTGGTCCTGCCTACAGAGCCCTCCCCCGTCTTCCTATATGTCTCGGGCCCTCTCTTCTGTGCTTCCATCATAATTATCAGCAAACTTGTTTTCTTAATTGAATAGATATCAAAAACACCTTATTCACCTCTCATACCCTGGTGCCTGACATATAATGAAAACTCAAATGTCTGTTAAAACGAGAGTTCCTAACACAATTCAATGACTCAGTCTTATAACTAAACCCAAAAAGATCAACACCTCCATACCGACATAAATTTGAGTGCCTTGAGGTGGGTGGCAGGTGCTGACAGCAGTTCTCACCCGAATTTACAAGAAAACCCTAGAAGCAGGTGTCTTAACTCTTCTGATTTAACAGGCGAGGAAACTGAGGCTTAGCATGTTTAAGTTAGTTTGTCCACAGTCACAAGGCAAAGACCTGACTAACACCAGATGTTCTTACTCCAGTCAGTGAACCCCATGTGTAGGGACAGCTCACATACACAGTCTTCTTCACGTTGTGTAATTAACAAAAAAGGCAGGAGAGCAAATAAATAATTGGAAGTGTGGCTAGGTGCAACAAGACATGTTCTTAACATTTTACTTTTACAGTTCAGAAGTGAACTGAAATGAGAGCTTCTCGAGGGAGTGAGATGAATGAAATGACACTAGCTCCATACCTCGCCCTCAGCGGGGGTGACCAGAGACAAGAGGCCCTCTCTGAGAACCATAATCTTTCACGATTTTATGCTCAGCGTTGGTGGGAACATGGGAATGGAAAACACCTTACTGTAAAAGCTCATTTAATCCAGGACATGTTCGGTCCTGGCACCTGGAATGTAGACCACAGCTGCACTACATGGGAGTCAGGGGTGCCCCCAATGCACATCTCAGGTCTCCCTGCACAGCTGCTAAGTCCCTTCCCTGCCAGCTCTAAAACTCGAGGGTCAAGGCGCCATAAAAAGCTGCTATAGGTCCTCCACCGAGAAGCAGTGATGTAGACTCTTTCACCCGGCTGTGGAACCAGGATCAGACTTTTTAAAAAGTAACAAATCTTTCTTCAAAAGAAATTTTACACAGAAACTCAAAATGTAACAAATAGTAGTTAATGTTTTTGAAGTAGGGTGGAAGCCTACTTGTCCTGCTCCCCTGCCCACCACCCAGGGGAGGAAGATCAGTTTGAAAACTACAATTCAGATCTTTAAACTGCACTGATTTTCTAACATCATTCTATAAGGCATTTATAACTCAAAAATTATTTTGGAAGTTTGGAAGTTTAAGGCTTAAACTAATGTACAAGACACGCCAAATTTAATATGTGATTGTTATTATAAAATACAGAACCTTAGAATCCATGTAACCTCGAAGGTTAAAAATAGGAGCAGTAACCACATACCAGTATGAAGAGGATTAAACCCCTGGCTGTAAAATCCCACCGTAAGCCCTGGCCTGGTGCCTGAGGGCTTTGTGGTGCTCTGTAAGTGTAGATGGTCTGGATGCGGCTGCAGGGCAGTGCCTTCCCACTCCAGAGGCCAGAGGTTCTGACTCCTTGGGTCTGGGGGTGGTAGGCAGGGTGGTGGTGGGTGCATTTCCATTGGAAAAAAACGAAGGGTGACTGTGGTGTACAGCCTGGCTGAGAACTCGCATGGGGAGGCACGCTCCCACAGCAACTTGACACAGCCTTCCTGGGCACGTGTGCCCAGGTGAAGAACGACAGAGCCATCAACACCACTCCTGGCTGCAGGACAAATCCCTCCTTGTCAACTACAGAGAACCCAGAATAAGCACTGGAAACTCATACCCTCCGACTTCTGCAGCGCAAGCTGACTCTTGGGATTGTAATCATTGCAGAAGAGTGAAAGCAACTTGTTTAGCAGCCTAAAGAATTCAGCAAAAGCCACCAGTATTACAGTAATGTTATTCCGGGCTTCTTGTTATTCGTATACATTACTAAAAATTATATTACTTCTGGTATAATTCAGATTTTTCTGTTTTTTTTCTGCCGACTTGTAAAATAACGGCAAGTCCTGAATAACACCAATAAAAGTGCAATCTGAGTTTCTGGGGGTAAGAGAAAGCATCTGCATAGCACAGCGCGGCACAGGTTTCTACCTCTAAGCTTGGCAGACAGGGAACTAAGAGGGTCTAGTCCTGGAGTCAACTCTGACCCAACCACTCAAAATCTGTGTGACCTCTGCAAATCACTTACCCTCTCTGAACCTCTTCTGCGTATGAAAAAAATCATATGTGTAAAGAGCTCGGCAAAGCGCCTGGCATGAATGAGCGCTCAGTAAATGTTAGAGATGGTCAGGCCTGTCATACGTTATCTTACCCTTTCTTTTGATGATCCCATTAGCAAGCTAGATAGCCTGTTTTCAAATAAGTCCTCTGTCTTCAAATGGCCTGCCGCCCCAGGCAGTGGGGGGAAGTTGGACAGCCCTAATTCGAAACTCGGAGACGGAGGCTTTGGTGGCGTTGGAGACTGAGTTTGACTCCTCTGAAAGAGAACAACACCCATAAAGTTGCACAAGTGTAGACAGTCAGTGTGGTACTAAGAAATACAGCAGAAGGCTAAGGCAGATAACCCGCTCTCCAACCTTCTCATTTCCGCGTCTAAATGAAAAAAGAGAGGTAATCCAACCATACCAACACTTCATCACCTAATCAAAGGTCATTTATTAGGCAACTTCAACCATCAGGAGCAGAGCTGTAAAGGTGAAACCTCAGGCTGCTGCTGGCCACGACCCAGCACACTGTACCAGAGCTGCTTCTCTACGACCATAAGACCCTCAGCCCCCAGGCCACACCGTCAGCTGACACAGAATGGGTACGGCCCACGTGTGCAGCTGAGAGCAGCCAACTGACAGCTACAGACAAGGGGACGCAGTCAAATCACTCGACCCCACTGCTCAGAAATCAGGATAGCCTGAGTCTAGACATTAACTAAGTCATCTCCAGACAAGTTTCATGTTATTACAGAAGAGTTTGTAATCTAAGTCATAGATGAGATAGTAAAAGAAAAATAAACAAACAAAAATGCCACTCTCTCAACTCTACAGCTATATAAGAAATTTTACAAAGATTTCCATCAAAAACTGGTTTAACAGGCAGCTGGCTCTGTGGCGTAGTGGTTAAGTGCGCGCACTCTGCTGCTGGCAGCCTGGGTTCGGATCCCGGGCTCTCACCGACGCACCACTTGTCAGGCCATGCTGTGGCGGTGTCCCACATAAAGTGGAGGAAGGTCGGCATGGATGTTAGCTCAGGGCCAGTCTTCCTCAGCTAAAAGAGGAGGATTGGCGTGGATGTTAGCTGAGGACTGATCTTCCTCACAAAAAAAAAAAAAAGGTTTAACAACAAAAGAGAGGGCTTCAGTTATCTGAAAATTAACTTACTGAAACTGTTTATATATTTTTAAATCACTATGTAGAAACACGGTATTTGGTAAGAGGTTCTTATGACATTCCTTGACTTCAAGAAAGTAAATTCAGAATAATATCTGAGTGTAATTTACAAGTCCAAGATCTCAGGAGAAAAGCAGTGATATGTTTTTATTGAAAAACTATCAATCAACATGCTTTAACAAGCCAGAAGTCATTTCCTAAGTGTCCAGGTCTTGGCTGCAGGAGACAGGAAGAGGGAAATGAGTTTGTATTTAGGTGGAACGCAGGTATTTCTAGGTGAATGGTGGGCTACTCTGACTGGAAGCAGTGCTCTCATGGGGCTCACGTAACTTGAAAGGGCCAACATTTCCCAGAAACTTATACTAAGGAAGATACTTATGCAGGAAGATTATTCCCTACAGAAGTGGAACATAGAGAAAATCTGTCAGAACTTGAGTGAGAGCAGGTTAAAGGATGAAAATGGATCCAAGCCGACAAAAATCCCACATATTTTTCGGGCATCCCCGCAGGCTTCGCTCCTTTATTACGGTGTTGGTGCCTGAGCTGAGCCTCATTTACGTGCCCTCAGCACTAAGCCTGCAGCTGTTACCCCTTGGCCGTTGGATGCTCCCTAACAATTCAGCACAGCTGTAGGTTATGCAGCGACAGTATGATCCCAAAGCACTTTTCAGAGGCTTTATTTCAAACATCTGCGTGTTTCTGATGTAAACCCAGGTTTCCAGAAGATAAGCATTTCTACGGAGAAAGACTTTATAAAAATTCACTAAATCTCAACTTTCAGAAACAGAAGAGGCAGGCAATAACTGCCCAGACATAGCAGTTACAAAATGGCAGAGCCCACAGAGGACGTTTGATCTTGGAGGCAGTGTTGAACATTTTTTAGGATCTGAACAGCTTTAGGTGAGACATGAATGCCGTCCCTGGTCCTACCGGCTTCGGACCAACTGCCCACGCCGTTGCCCACGTTTGTTGCCCATCTCTAAGCCGAAGTCATTAGAAGAGCCCAGCGCAACAACAGCTGTGCTCTAACAGATATAACTGCATCATGTGCCTGGGCTTCTGGTGGCATCTGGGCATGAACATGTGAATTAGGAACACAAAATGAAACAAGATGGCAACAGGAAAAAGCTTCACTTTTGAAGATGATGTAGTAACCAGTGGGAATAACTCATGTAAGGTAACTAATATGTGAAGAGATGTTCAGATGATAGTCTTATTAGCCCAAACGTTACAGGAATTCATTAATTCCAACTAGAATCAACTGACATAAACTGCCTTACCAAAGGGTTCACCAAAAACTAGGCTAAACTTACCAATTAGGCAGGATTACGGGTGTTTTATTTACTACTAATTTGTACCAAGTTTTAGACAAAGAAACTATCTCTTTTGTGATGAGAAAGCATATACCAGTGGTTCAGGGGCTGGACCAAGAACTTTCTCAAGGTCTTTGCCAGTCCTCCAAGTGTGGAATTCTCCATTTGCAAGTCCATGAAACACACTCCCTTCCTTCTGTGTCTTCATGCATATGGAACTCTTGCCAGAATATTCTCCCACCGATTCATGAAGAAAGGTACCATATGACCCCCACCAAAGCCCGGAGAAGCATTATGCACAGGAGGAACTGTTTAATCAACCCCAGCAGATGTGAGCACGCCTCATGGACTCACCACCACTCACACAAACCCATCACTTATATTTGGGTTTGTCCTGACCATAAGTTACAGCAGAAGGCAATAATGCTCTCTACATTGTGGGTACACAGTAAATTGTTTTGAAGGAAAAATACTGATGAACAAATTCCTACATGGGAGAAGTTTATTCTGCTTGTCAAAACTAATGAGTCCCGTTATTTTATGGTGTATGGTTACCCGCCCAGAAAGAATGCATCTCGACATCTGCAGAGAGACTACAGAGTCTGTGTGCACATTCCTGGCTGCATCTGTTGCCTAGCACGTGAACATGTAGGTACTACAGAGTAACACTCAGGAAACTAGCCACCACCTTCTCCTCTTGAGACCACCAAAAACGTCAGTTATCACCTAACAGATAGCATGTTAAAAGAAAAATCTCTTTTGAAAAGCTCCTTCTTACATCTTAACCTGTATTCATTTAATTAAATCTCATGTTTGTTTAGTATAAACTAGACTGAAATGTCTTGCAAAAATGACATTGGCTTGATGTACTCACTGTAAACTTCTCCTCTCTTTTCTTCCGGTAACCAAAGGAATTTTTCCTAGAGGAAAGGAAAGCAAATGACTGTTAATTTTTTCCCACTTGGAACATTTTTCCATCAAGCACATGGATGTGCATACGTAGTCTTTATTACTTTATACTCTTTTAAAGATGACTTTTGATTCTAAAATCCCAACCTTAAGAAGTATAAGCAAAACAAAAATTTTATAATAAAGGACTAAAACTGTTATCTAAATAGGTAAATAAAAGAAAAACATTTATTAAAAGAATTTTCCTAGTGGCTATTTAGAATTTTTGTTATGATATAAATATTTGAATATCCATTCCGTTGGAATGACAAGATGTGTAAAATCTGATATGGAACTGCCTAGATGAATTGTTCAAAAAGAATGGCAATGAAAATTTATCAGAGTTATTACCACAATGGAAAGATCTCAGGCAGCCTGGTCCGCTCTCGCTCGCTCCCCTGTTAGCCTTCCAACTACCGAGTCACCGCCTACCCTTCACCATGGCCTGTCCTTCACTGGCCGAACCACACAAGGGTTTCTAAACCCCAAGCACTTTCTCCACCTAGCTGCTAGTCGCATCCTTACCGTTGTAGATTTCTATGGTTGAGAATCAGACCCTGAAGGCAGCAGTGCTGTGCCATGGGCTGCAGCTTATAACCACAGTGACAAACACCCACAGAGTAGAGACTTCACAGCGGGCCCTGAGGATACTAAGACCCTTTCACAGCCTTGGACAGGCTTACGTGGTCTAACAATTCACGTTAATTCCAATTTATAATTTTATTTTTATTTATTTATCCCTTTGTCATTTCACCTGGATGCAAAGACTCTCTGATGGCCTTACAGTATATAACCTAGAAAGGAATTTAGAAATAATTTTGACTAATTCTTTTAATTTACAAAAACCTACAAGCAGTCTTGCCCAAGATGGCCTAATTAGAACAATGAGCTTAGAGCCCTTGACTTCTGTGCCAAGAAGAGCCACTCTGTGGAGCCTCTGGCCAGCCCCTCTAGGAGTAGCACGATACAAACCTCTAGGACTTTGGAGCAAAGCTATGCCTTCTCCTGTAGAAACTACTCCAGAAATAGCTCCTGGCTTTCAACTGGCTCCTAGCAGAGACTAAATCCCCGACTATGGGACATCAAGCGACCACAGACTTGAGCTGCCCATCACGAACTGGCACAAAGCCACGGAGACGGGCACCAACACTACAACCACACCAGCAGAAGCAGCAGGTCAGAGCTGGCTCCACACAGTCCTGCTGCGGTGCTTCCTTGCTTTCCATCTATGGCCTTGTAGGGAGTCCCTTAGTAGCAGTGACTAGGGGAGAGTTCTGGACCTGGGTTACAGATGGCCAAGCAGCATGCTGACCACCTCAGCATCACACCCCAAGCAGGAGCATTCCCGAGAGCCAGCGTGCAGGTGGATCTTCCCAGAGGGCAGAAGTTCAAGAAACATATTTGCTGTCCACTGTGTCTGGACGCAGAAATGGCTGCAAGCACAGATTTACACTAGTTCTCAAGCAGCGGAGCTAAGGACCTGGCTGGACGAGACACTTGTAAAGACCAGGATGCAAAGTCTGGTGACAAAGAGAAGTTTAAGGAAGGGACAGTGTGAAGACATCTGTGTTGAAGCCATCCACTTTAGAAGAGATCCCCAACAAGCGAGTGAGAAGTATTGGCATCCAGCCTCTTCCCCGACACCCCAGGTGCGTAGTAGTTACACTCGGGCACCCCAATGCCGAGGCTAACCCGTTTACCACTACTGATAGTGCCCAGCCTGGCCCAGGGTGCCAGCCCTTCCCCATCCTGGAGGAGGCAGCAGTTCTGCCTGCCACCGGTCCGTCGGCACCACTCGGTGGACCTAGGGAGATGCCGCCTTCACCCCATGGGGCCCATGCAATGCTCTTTAGACCCAGAGACCCATCCCACACCAGCAGACTGTGGCGTGTGCCCCACTCCAGGGAGCAGACCGGCCAAGGAAGGCTCAAGATGCAAGACTGAGGGGCTGGCAACGCCTTCAAAGGATGGTCCTAACTCAGGAGCTGCAGCATATGCTTTGCATGTGACCACAGCACCACACTCGGCCAGGCACCACGGAGCAGAGGTGGGAGGGACTCTTCACTATCACACCCAATATTCCACCAGTATGATTTCTGCTTCCTGTGCCCACAACTTTGAATTCCGCTGGTTTGGCTTAGTCCCCCAAAATGGAACACTCTCATCAGGTGACATAACTGTGACAACTGTCTGCTCAGCTGGGGTTCTCCCTGCCACTAAACCTGGCTGGGTGGCTGCCCTGTGGGCTGCTGCTACACAGTGGATAGGAGAGCCGTGTGTAGTCCCAAGAAATTCCCTGGGGTGCCTCATACTGCTCCTTACTAGCCCAACGGACAAAGGTTAACAGAAAATGAAACAAAAAGCAGAAAACGGGGAGTCCTGGGGGGAGTATGGCCACTGTGGCTCAGGTCTTTCAGGAGAGAAGGCCAGTGTCACCCTCCAGCTGAAGAGCCCTGAGCACCCGATGCCTCATCTGGAGATGAAGGGAACATGAGGAACAGGGGAAGGAGCCAGGTGACAGTATCAACCTGGGCTCCCTGATAAGCTGTTCCTCCCGTGTCGTGTAGACTGGTACATGTTAGCTGAGCTCTCTCCTGTCTTACTGGTGGTGGTCGCAGTCCTCAGGTACAGACTATTGAGGCAAGAGTCTCCATCAGCTGGGCAAAAGCATATACTTGTTACTGCTGTCATCTGGAAGTTCGAATGCCGTGGGAGGATCATATGTAACTACGTGGGCCAGAGGCAGGCATGTCGCCGACCAGACGCTCCGCAGCTTCACACCTGCCTTTACCCTCCTCTGTGACGCTGGGTGGCGTTTTGCAGCTCCCATCTTTCCATTGCCAGGATGCTCCTTGTCAAGCGTTTCCCAACAGGGAATGCCACCAGAGGGAGGGGGGAGTAGGGAGGGTCTTCCTGGTGGTGCTTCTTTTGCACTGTCCCTCGACCAGCGTCGACCTGCACCATCCAGTGTGGCGGCACAGCCCCTTCCTTAGGGTCTGGCCTCAGCTCCACAGACCCTGCCCCAAGCCTAACAACTCCAAACTTGCCTGCTGTCCCCCAGCCCGAGTGGCAGCTGCCTCCTGAAGTTACTGTGTCTGTATTTCCTCAATTTAACCCTTTGTCTTTCAGCCCTCCAATATCTGTTGAACCAACTTTATATCAAATTTCCTGATGATACACAGTCCTGTGCCAGTTCTCCTGGATTGTGCTGCCTTCAGTCACTCTCACTCCATCCTACAACCCCACCAAGACTGTCCGGGTGGATTTAACCACTACAAACGTGACGGACTGCCTCTGGGCTCCTCACACTCCCAAAATGCACTGGAAACATACCGTGCCAGGAAGAAAAAGGAACCAATGTTAGTGGAGCTTCTGTATGTCAGACACCGTGCTGGACACTCAGTATGGAACACTTAGAAATATTTTTGTTTAAAGTTTTCAAAGTAGGTTAAAAAAAAAAAAAAGCTTAGGCAGGTTGAACACTTGCTAGTTATCTGTCAGAGATTTCCTTCCTGACAGCATGTATTGAACTGACCACTGAGAGACCAAACTGGATAAGCCAGCTTCCACTTGTTAACGCTGGACAGGATATCACCGACTGGATGCTTACCCATCCATCTTTTGGACGATGACTCACCTCCATCTTTTCTAAGCCCATCTCTCTAACAGAGGTGTAAGTGGCAGAAGACGAGACAGCAAGCAGCAGCAAAGGAAAAGCGAGAAGGGAGTGGACGCAGCCCACTATCAGAACGCACGCTAACGACCCCAGGTAATGACCACAGACACTGTGGGACTAAGGGTGCTAGAGGGCGGGACCAAGGATGGAAATAAGCTAACTCTCTCCTAAATGTGGCCAACAGGTACCACTTAACCATAACACCATTCGTTTATAAATAAATTTAGTACAAATGGAATTTAAACTCTGATCTGCCTGGCTACACAACTCATTGCCTATCTACCGTGCAACACTGCTGGTTGGAAAAGGAGCAATGCTGGGAACACGTGGGCCCTCTGTCCAGGCGGGAGTGGGAGGGGGTGGGAAGAGACCGCAGGCTCACAGAGCGTGGCGTCTGCCATCTGTTGAGCTCCAAATTCTCCACAAATAATGACTATGACCTAATATGGTTCAATTCCATGTACGGCTCTCATTGAACAATTTTATACTACAAAAAAAATAAAACTAGTTAAGTCTTTGCTCTAAAAGTAACCTCTCTGAGTAATTATATAAAATCTTTGGTGGTTACAGCCTTCAATTTGATTTTCTGTGATGCATTTGAAAATAACGATTATAAAACATGTCTAAATTAATGGAACCGTTTATATGTACAAAGTACCTATCCAACAAAAATTGTGAATGACTCACCTTCCTCTCCCCAAACCAGGAGAGGACTCCAGACTGCTCTGCTCCACTCGCCCAGTTCCAATGTCTCTCTTGGCATAGGTGGGAGGGTTCTGTACCCGTGCTCTAGGTTGGCCTGTCTGCCTCGTTTGTGGGCTCCGGACACCATTGAGTAGCCGATCTGCAGTGAAGTTAAATATCGAAGGACTTTCCAACAGCCCGGGTCCCCTCTCTGCACTGGGAATGGCATGGCGTAGATGAGACTTACTAGGATTCCTATAAACAAAATGTTCACACAGGCTCAGTTAAAAACGATCACAGCATTACAGAACGAGTATGCTAATATAGGAATGTCTAAGCTTAAATTTGCTTTCTACTTAGAAATAATATAAAAAATGTTTAAAATAGTTTAACACATAATATCTCTGATAATGCAAATCTATAAAGTATCAGTGTTCTGTTAGCTACAGTCCAGGTCCAAACTAAAAGCAGGCATACACAGATGCAAGTTGCCCCAGAAGTCTTTATCTATAGAGAACCCATCCTTTACGTAGGCTCTATAGGACGCACTTGAGGGTTTAATCCCCACAGAATGTAATTCTATACTTCAAGCAGCTTTATCTCTGGTGAACATTACTAGAGGTCAAATGCATCATAAGCGATCATCAGAAACAGCCTCTCTACTTAATAAGTATGACACGCATATGATGAGCACTACCAAGGTTTAGCATATTCTGTTTTGCTTTGCTTTTTAAGTATACAGTATGGCAGCGACCTCTTATTACCACCCCTGGAAAAACAACCATATTTTAATCACTCAGGGGAACTTGCCTGCTTCTTGGAGGATACTGTCTGAGTGAAGTCAGAGGAGATGCTGTGGGTTTGAAGGTTGGAGACGTAAACCCATTTATAAATCCAGTATTTGGAAATGGAGTTACCTAGATTCATTAAAAACAAACAAGTCAACAAGGCATAAACAGACTTTGAGTTGGTTAACACTGCATCTTCTGGTAACCTGGGTCATTTCTCGACATGTCAAAGAGGCTATATATTCACAGGTTGAGAAGAGCACTGTCTAAGATTATTGCTAATGGCCAATATTTCTTGAGCCAGGCTGGGGCTAAGACTATCTTCTGGTCTGTCTCAGTTGATCCTTACAACCACCCAATGAGAAAGCCACTTTATGCATGTGGGAACCGACATGAGACGGAAGCACCTGCTCAAGACCCCTCAGGTCCAAGCACAGGCTCAGGACTCCTGCACGCTCGCCTGAAGAGCCCAAATGCTCAACCAAACGGTACTAGCAACACCACCTCCAAGACTGGCAAGAAGTCAGTAATTCTTCTTTATTCCTAATGACTTGAATGAAATTCATCCAAGTTCCCAATCTTAGGACCATTTATTATCTATTTCGTAATCACAGCCTTTGAGTGCCATTTTTAGCCTTCACCTTCATGCAAGCCTTGCTCTGAGCATTAGCATATTTTCAGATCATTAATAATTACTCCTCAAGTCACAATTTGAAGTGATATATTTCATACAAATACACTGACACATAATTCAGAAGAAAATTAAAAAGGGTCACAGTACCCTTAAAAGATATAATCCTAAATATAATCTTCAAAAGTTAAGATTAAGTACAGAATTTTAAATGTCAGTCAACTATTTTAAAAATCTAGACACATATAAAAACCCCATAAAACTTAGTGTTGAAACACAGTTCTTTTCTAACAAGATGAAAAGAATGTTCACTCCAGCTGTCTGGATTCTGGACCTGTGGTTTCAAACACTTTCTGTGTAAATGACATTCCATGATGGGTTCAAAGGTATTTAACTCCTTGCTGCCCTCCAGTTCCCACCCTAAATTTTCACTAAATTGAAAGACAGATATAGGCCCCTCCTTGTTTGGAAAAAAATAAAATAAAAAATACAAAAACAAGCAATTCCTCTTAAGTAGAGCTAATTGGAAGCTTTAATAGAAGAAGGATGTCAGAGATAGCTTAGGACCAAAATAAAATTGTTCCATGATTGAAAAAAAAAAATTAAAGCAATAAAAGGGAAACACTGGGGGAGAAAGATGTACCTCAAGCTTTGCTGGAGTGGCCAGAGTACTACTGGAAAACTCGAGTCTGCACCAGTCAGACTCTTCAGAAATGTATCAATCACACCAGAACCAGGTTTGGGAGACTGGTTATCATGGTAAGACCAATCAAGAAGAATCATTTCATGTATGTACTTTTACATACAGAACTCTAGTATTTGAGTAATTTTGTTCAAGAGTTTAAAACAACACAAAACAGAACAAGGTATAACAAGAACGACTTAGAAGGGGAAGAGGAGAGTGATTGAATTGACTCAGTATAAGGAAATAAGAGGCCATCAGATAATGGACTATCTCATACACAAGATTTTTTATACAAACATCAAGGTAACCACTAAACAAATAATCAAAGCAAAACCACATATGATAAACGAAGAGAAAACTAGAAGAATCATAAGACAGAACAACCAAACTGAATTGGCAGTCCGAAACAAATGGGACAAGAAACAAAGGAAATGCAAAAGAACCGGAAAATAAGTGACAAAACAGCAACATTAAGCTCTCATATATCAATAATTACCCTAAATGTAAATGGATTGAACTCTCCAATCAAAAGATACAGA